ATGCCTCTGTGTCACCTACTATGATGCTTCATTCTTTGCCTGCAGTGCTGGTAAATATAACTTGTTTACATTTAGTAATTACATGTTCACATATATGGTGGTGGTTTTGTTATATATATATATATATATATATATATATATATATATATATATATATATATATATATATATATATATATATATATATATATATATATTACTAATCCGGTAACCACTCAGTAGGTGCGGTAACTACCATTATTGTAGTCGGAAGTATTTCGTTTATATTTTCCCACGAAAGGTTCTTTGAGTTAAAGGTTTAGTTAAAAGTATTATATTATTATTAGATAAAAGTAAATGTGTTTGTCATATTAAAGTATTTTTTATGATATAATTAAGTAAATCGTAATGTGGGCAGCTCTGATTGGTTAACACACCAAAGACTATTTACGAAAGACAGGAAAGTAAACGAATCGCTGTGTTCATTAGCTCTTAAAACTGCTCGATCAGCTCAATAGATGGCAGGTAGTAAGCTCCGCGTCGTTTGATCTGTTTACATATACTATGGCTTATTTACATATGCTGTGTTTTTACATATACTATGGCTTATTTACAAATACTATGGTTTGTTTACATCATCTTAAGGGTGAAACTCAAATTCAAACAAATGTGACAATGAGTAATACCATTTTTAAAGCCTTTCTCGTATAGTAACAGGTCAGCTCAATAGATGGCGCTGATAGGATGATCTAAAACATCACATTTTTATATCGACATAGATGGTAACTTTTCCGTCTTACACACAAGTTTATTCGAAGCTGAACAACTTAGAGTAATGTACAGTATTATTATTTCTGTTTTTTTTCGTAAAGTTTTCTCGTTGTTTCTTTTCTTTATTACGATATTAATTAATTTAACATTTAGTATTAAATATTGTATGTTCATTAAGGTTGGATTTATTTTTAAGTTTACCTTATTCGGATATAGATTTTGGAGGGAGAAAGACTAGACAGAGGGATTACATTGACGCCTCATTTCTAATACAGACACAGAGGTGGGTGGTGCTGTCGGTCGTCTCTCTCACTTGCCAGAGCCTTCGTGAGATGTAGTAAGTGTTATTTTTAATGTATTTAATTGGTTAAATTTATACTTGTGTAATGGTTGATATATTAAGGTTATTTATTTATACCGATTTATTTTAAAAGGAAATACTTTAAATGGTACAAGAAGCATAGGTTAATTAATGGTCGTTACTCTCGTAATCACATTGACAAGTTACCTTAGAGAATACTTAACTATTTTGGCTTTATAATTTTATTTAAATTATTGAAATGTGATTTAGTTTTGTCCAGTTCATAGTGACGTTGTTCATAGTGACTGTTTTGGTGTTGTATGTTACAGGATTTACCTTAAAAGTATGTTACTGGTAGATTTTCGGTAATACTGGACGGACCTTTAGCTGTATAGGTTCCCACCATGTTTACCTGGTCTTACTCACTTGGTTAGGTTGGTTGGTTTCTTTGGTTTGTGTATTTTTGGCGTTTTACTCAAATTTGACGGAAATTTTTGTGCAAATCAGTAGTTTGTCAAAAATTAATGTTCATTTTTTGCAGAAACCGATAATTTGCAAATGAAATAAAGGCCAAATTTGAGTAAAAACTGTAAGTAAAAAAAAAATTCTCGTACCAAAACCTGAGGACAGCCAATGGACTAATATTAGTTATCTTTTCTTTACAGATGATGGATCCAGTTACTGTTGTGTTAAAGGCCAGTTTGGTGCATCAATGGTCGTTAGCATGGATAGTACAACACCTTATTTATTGAGGTAAGTTTATTAGATACGTTTTCGTTAACTACCAATCGCCGTTTTTCCATATATTTTTTCTCCAGTTTTCTAGATTTGGAAGATTCTTAACATTTATCTTTGGGGCAAATCACTTATTTTATTCCCACCCCAACGATGTAGGGGGGAATTACTAACAATATTTGTTTAAAGTGGGCAGGGCTTTAAAGTAGAGGGAAATGTGGGGTAAAATACTATAAATAACACCAAACAACTCCTATAAAATCTGACCTAATGTTTGCTAACTTCTAAAAATCCAAAGGTAAAAGTTTATCTAAGCATTTTTGGTGTTTAGTAGGTGATAAGATGAGGAATTTATTAAGTGATACTTAACATTTTCTCAGGTTGGGAAACATTAGGTCAGGTTTTCAAAGGTTTGTTTGGTGTTATTTATCGAATTGTGAGCGACGTTGTGTGTCACCATAACATCAAATTGGGACTTGGACAAATTCATTACCACAAATAAATGGTGAATGTCGCGTTTATTTCTGGAATGCCGCTAAATTAAAGTATGTTCTTTAGTTTGTTGATGATCTATTAAAAGGTGATAATGGGTGGTTAACGAGAAATTACTTTTTGTTCTATAGTGAAGTGTAAAGTCTTCTGCAATAACTATGGAGCTGGGGTCAAGGTGTGGTCCATCACATCTGGACATACTGGGCATGTACTGGCTCTGTTACACAACTGTTGGCATGTACTGTGTAGGGTTACGTGATATTATGTTGTCTAGCACTCAGGATGGATGGATGGAAACTAAGGTGGTGGTTTTCTTATATAATATAAGTTATATGAAAGACAGTCTGGTGCTGGAGATGCCGTGTGGTGAGGAGCTGCTCAGTAGACACGTTCGGTGAGTAGCGTGCTGAAGGAGGTAGATGTGCAGGAGCTTCGTTAGAGGAGATGTTGCCTGTTGATGGCCTCCAGGTTGAATGAAAGCTGGACAGCGAGGAGCTTGCTTGGAGGCGGCGTTGCGTGTTCAGGAACGTAGAGTAGAATGAATCTTAATGGAGAGAGAGCTTATATACACAGCAGCCGGAAGTAAATCCGTGGGAACTCGCTGGTTTCTTGACTCCGTTGCTAGGGAAGACGTAGCAGGTGGCTGGTTGCTAGGATACTGTGGCATCTAGTGAAGCCTCCCGGCCCGCTCGTTTGGTTGCTAGGATACTGTCGCATTGGAATGCGGATACGCAGTTGTAAGGGAGACGTCCACTACAACTGGCTCTGTTACACAACTGTTGGCATGTACTGGCTCTGCTGCACAACTGTTGGCATGTACTGGCTCTGCTGCACAACTGTTGGCATGTACTGGCTCTGCTGCACAACTGTTGGCATGTACTGGCTCTGCTGCACAACTGTTGGCATGTACTGGCTCTGCTGCACAACTGTTGGCATGTACTGGCTCTGCTGCACTACTGTTGGCATACTGGCTCTGCTGCACAACTGTTGGCACATACTGGCCTACGTACAACTGTTGGCATGTACTGGCTCTGCTGCACAACTGTTGGCATGTACTGGCTCTGCTGCACAACTGTTGGCATGTACTGGCTCTGCTGCACAACTGTTGGCATGTACTGGCTCTGCTGCACAACTGTTGGCATGTACTGGCTCTGTTGCACAACTGCCGCATGTACTGGCTCTGCTGCACACAACTGTTGGCATAAAATTGGCCTCTGCTGCAACTGTTGGCATGTACTGGCTCTTGCTGCACAACTGTTGGCATGTACTGGGCTCTGATGCACAACTGTTGGCATGTACTGGCCCCTGTCACACAACTGTTGGCATGTACTGGCTCTGTCACACAACTGTTAAGTATGTACTGCCTCTGTCACACAACCGTTGGTACGTACTGGCTCTGCCCAATAACCGTTGGCATGTACTGGCTCCACGCCACAACTGTTGGCATGTACTGGCTCTGTCGCACAACTGTTGGCATGTACTGGCTCTGTCGCACAACTGTTGGCATGTACTGGCTCTGTCGCACAACTGTTGGCATGTACTGGCTCTGTCACACAACTGTTGGCATGTACTGGCTCTGTTAAACACAGTTGGCCATGTACAGTTGTACCCCGCTTAACGCGGTCAATTGAACCCACAGGGTACCGTGTTAAGTGAAAACCGCGTTAAGTGAACAGAACATATGGGATTAATTCCAATAGAGACTGGCCCGACCCCCAAACTCCACTTTTTGACGACACACAACTATGTTCTAGTAAAAATAACATCTTAATTTTATGATGGTACATGCACACAATTAATACTTAAGAGAAATAGAGAAATAGTCGCCAAGTTAATGTCCATTCAAATAATGGACTCGACTCCTTTCTCCACTAGATTTTAATGAATAATACCTCAAACTAAAGTTAGGATAATATAATTGACATTGCTGGATTCCTTGTAAGACCAGGAATATTTTGAATATAAATGTCATATATTTTGCACAAAAGAGAACATATTACTCAGAAAACATTATATCTAAAATTTGTATGTCTAATGCAAAATCTATGATGTTTATATTCAAAATGATCATCAAATTGGAAGAATTCCAGCAATGTAAATTATATTCTGGCCGGGTAATTTGTATGAATTTTATGAGCTAAATAAAAAAATATATATATTTCACCGCGTATATGAGTAGATGAACCGCGATAAGTGAAAGTTCGGTTCTGGCGAGGCACCGCGTATGTGAGAAATCGCATTGAGTGAAACCGCGTTAAGCGGGGTACAACTGTACTATTTAATGCCTCTTGTCTTGCTCTGACCTGAGTGCATAACCACCATCTTGTCTTAAGGTCTGATGCCTACACTTAGTAAACTTTTGGGACTTTGATGACCTCGTTTGGAATCACTGGCAATCTTACTCAGTCATTCTACAATCTTGAATGGTCTCTGTATTTCTTGAGTCAGTGGGTTTGATCTGGAATATACTGTATACTGGTTATATTCAACATTGTTTACATTCCTTTTTCTGAGTAATTTCATTCCTCCTGTCAGTCGCCCATAATGCTTTGTTGTATTAATTCCTGTAAACTGACCTGGCTTAAACTACAGTTCTGTGATGTATAAATACATCCAACAGGGATTAAGCCTGTATTAAACATCTTGCCTTAAAGAGGGTCGTCGTGTTTCAACCAGAGTTTTAAACTAAATGAGTCCTGAGGGACACCTCAATACTGTACTTAATGGGGTGGTGTGGCGGTAAATTTAACTTAACTATAAAATTAATTTATAATATTGGAATTCGTTCATTTTACCGCCACACCCCGTTAAGTACAGTACTGCGGTGTCCTTCAGGACTCGTTTAGTTTTAAAAGTCTGGTAGAAACACAACGACCCTCTTTAAGGCAAATGTTTAATACGGGCGTAAGTCTCTTGCCTTTAGTTTAATTTTATGACGTTTATATTCACAATCCTTCTTCCCCTTAAAGTACTTTCACCTGGCTGGCTCTAAGGTCCTGTACAGTAACTGGGTCCCTCTTAAGTTACACATATAACTGCCGTCAACCTTGGCATTATTAACTTGCCTGCATCTATAGTTCTCAGTTTGTCCAATACGTTGTTCCCAGTGCAGTTAATACAGGTAACTATACTTAATACAGTTAACTATACTTAATACAGGTAAATACTCTTTCTACACTAACCTTGCCCATAGGCCCTGCCCCTCTTCTATACTAACAGCTGATTGGTTCATAGAAAAGCCTTATTAAATGTGTTCACAATAGGGAAACAGACCTGTTAATATATAAAATGTTAACTATCTGGACTATCGTAATGTAAATGATCTCAAGTCATTAGCTCTTTAGAGGATGTTAGAAAATGTTAATTATTTATTATAAAAGGTTGATATAAATACAGGCTTATATACACAGTCTGGGGAGGTAAAATGCTCAGGGGAACCAATCAGCTATAAGTATTTAAGAGGGGTGTGGCTTATAGGTCAGGTTAGCAGGGAAATACTATACAGGTAGTTCTGCTATAACGCGATAATTGTGTTCTTGTAAAATATCGTGTTATAGAAAATCGCGTAATAGAAATAACAGGGCTTATGGACAAAATAGGGTTAGGTGCAGATTACTCGAAATCAAAAAAATTTAGTAGTTAGCCTAACACAAAGGATAGCACAGTCTAAATAAATGTTACATTCATATCTAATAATGAAATCATATAGTAAATGTAACACTTTACCTTGAAAAAATATGAATGTAACTTGATGGGGGAGAAGGGTGATTTTGAGGTTGATAACATCGAGCTTCTCTTCAAGTGTTATATCCTTTCTTTTACGATCATCACCGGGAATTCTATCACCAGAACACTTCTTGGAGATATTCTTCTTTACCATATTCACAATTAATACCACAAAATTGGAGAAATAGTAAGCAAAAATCGCGTTATAGCAAACAAGCGTTCGCGTTATACAAATATCGTTCCTAATTCATAAATCGCGTTAGAGCAAATTCGCTTTATCAAAACACGCGTTATAGCAGAACTCACTGTACTAGTATTCTCTATAAACTGTACTCGGTAAACTAGTTCACAGGTGTTCCTTAATATACTAAAATATTGTTCCTGGAAATACTTAAACTAAGTCTTAAAGTAATTTATATATTGGGGTTATGTTCCTGTGAGGGAAAATCTTTACATTGATAAAAACAACAAAACGTGATTCATTGTTTGTTTGCTTCTATAGTGTAGACATTTGTTGAAAATTGCATATCATGTACTGTATATTGGGGGATACCTGTTCTGTATATAGGCAGTGTACTGTACTGTAGGTATACTATTTAATATATTAGTACAGAGTTGTAATAATTATTCATTCCAGGATGATGACTTCAAGATGGAGGAAATGATGACCACAAGAGTTCATCTGGTGACCTGACTCATGATGCACCAGACACAAGTCAGGTTAGGTACAGTACAGGTCATCTCTCATTGTGGTTTCTTCACTAAACTCTTGACAAAGTACAGTAATTGTAACCCATGGACTGCCTTGTCTAGTTAACTCTTCTAAGTGTAAATATCAATAGACTATTAGTACTGTACAATACAATACTCGGGATGCACCAATTAATTGATAACTGCTACAGTTAGTATCAATATTTTGCTGAATAGTCAGTATCTGTAAACAGAGTATTAGTTGATGCCATTTTGCTGTCTGTTTTGAGTTAATAAATTACTCACATTTTTATTATCGGCAAAATACAGTGATTACGGAAACCAGTTACAGGTTGACAACCCTTTATCCGAAATTCCGAAAACCGCAAAGCTCTGAAAACCGAAAGTTTTTTTTTTGTAGAGCATTTTTTTTTTATATACAGGGGTTAGCCCACCCAGGCATAGATCACTGACCCACATCGGGGCCTGGGGGGCGAAAATGTAATAGTAATACTAATTATAATAATAATAATTATAATTATTCATAGTAAATAAAAATTTTAATTATAAAAGACCAAAATAAAATAACAATAATAATAAAATATAATAATAAAATTTATAATAATAATAACAATAATACTGTATTAATAAAATAATAATAATAATAATAATAATAAAGAAATACAAGAATGAAAAAAGATAAAAAAAGTGAGAAACACGACTTAGACCTATGAATTATTATTATTATATTTTCGCCCCTCAGGCCCCAATGTGGGTCCGTGACTTGTGCCTAGGTGGGTTAATACACATATATAAAGAAAAACCAAAAACAAAAAACTAACCATTCTGAAAACTGAAAAATTCCGAAATCCGAAATGCCTTTGGCCCCAAGTATTTTGGATAAGGGATTGTCAACCTGTACTGTAGTCTGTTCACTTGTTATGGGAAGGTCACACTTGGCCGCCGATCATAATGTTTTATTGGATAACATGGCAGTGTCCTCTGTGGAAGTGTCTATAGCACTTCATTGTAAGGTAATGGATATATTATCAGGCCAGACAAAGTAGCTTTTGTTTTATCTGAAGAGAAAAATAATCTGGTAAAGACTGTCACTGACTCGAAAGATTGTTTTATATACTGTAGCATCGTTAAAGTACATTAGATATTTTATTGACCAATATTACCCAAATTAGAACTGAGAAATCCATTTACAGTAAATCCTCTTTTATTAAAGAATGAGTAAATAATGAATAAATGTTCCAAAATAAGTCTTAAATATTAGAATAAAATCGCTGTTGCTTACAAATGCGCGTCTTTTCCACCACCGTCTCTGTACAAGTAAACATTAAGCTGAAGAAAACTCGAGGATGATACAACAAAAATGCCTGTCACGAGGAGACTTTAACATCAATAATAAATTAATATAAATTTAGTAACACAGCTAGTTAATATTTTCTGGTTTATCTGTTGTCTCGACCCTACTCTGACCCGACCCTTATTGCTTTCATTTTCACTTCAATAGTAATGACTTTCCCGGGCACCTTAGCTGGTTTACCAACACAAGACGAGGGCCGGGTTATTTAACATTGATGAACAGATTAATGGCAAGTTTATTGTAACAAGTTTAGGTGTTGGTTAGATTATAATGTTGAGTTATAACATTAGTCTGTACTTACACTGTACAGTATATATTTAATATATACAGTATTCTTCCTGGATGGTTGCAGCTTCCAACAGCCGTGATATTGTTTACCTATAAATAGTTGACCACTTGATTAGTGAATAATTGCTGGGTGTTGTGCCGGGTAGACTTAAACGCTGCAATAATAATTTAAAACCCAGCTGCTCTTAATATTGCAGCTTCAAAAATTCCTTAAGATTATTGCTAAAGTTGATGTATTGTGGACGGCTTCTGTACCACCAGAGAAAATTGTTTTATTTAAATACTGTATTTGGCCGATACTTTGTTTATAGTCTGGTTTTGGTGGTGATACTATACAGTGACTTAACTGTTTTACCTGCATGATAAAGTTGACCCAAATTATAGCATTGACTCTGGCGGCAGATTATTGGGAGAGTTTTGAATGTGGTTATTAATGGTGCATCACTAATGCATTGTTCTTCAATTACTGTACTAGATTAAGTGGATTAATGTGGTACTTCCAAAGAGGATAAAACCTTTAGTTTAGGGTCATGTTATACATTACTGTATTAGGATACATTAGTACTGTATTGTGAAAATATTTTCCTTGAAACCTTTTATACGTAATAACTTGTGATTTTACTTCCAGTAGGTTCTGGACCTTGTCAAGGAGAGGTGTGCACTCTGCTGTACCATACATCTTCCCTCACTTGTACTGCTGTACCAGGCTTCTCTCCTCCAATATCAGGATGGCAAGTGATTCACAACACAACTAAAGGAAGGAAGGAAGGAAGGAAGCAAGCAAGCAAGCAAGCAAGCAGGTGATACAGCCCAGACCCAGCCATCCACCCCTCCTTTCTACCTCAGGTAAAGAATATAAAAAGTTCAGTTGATGTAAAAATATACAAAAAACAAGATATTGCTTATAAAATAGCCTCGGAATGATCACTTACAGGGGAGTAAAATTTACTTTATTGGTCTGTCAAAATGAACTTTTCCAACACTCAGATTGGAATTTCTCTTCCAGTTTATCCTTAAAACCAAAGACACACAAATTGCTCTGGGGTATTCAATGCTATAAATTTCAAGACAAAATTGAAAGTAATGAAGAAATTATACTTAAATTTATGTGAGAAAATGTGTAAAGTGTTGAGAATATTGAAAGGGGATTATGGGGCTAGAATTGCTGTATAGTCTGGGTCAAAAGTGTTGAACACTTGACAGTATTTGGCATGTAAGTACCTGAAGATCTTGGGTATTAAGTAAAGTTTAATCCTATTTTGTGGTTCAGGCATATGATAGTACTGTTGTTATTAGTACAGTATATCCCAATCATATAACTCAAGTAGATGAGATATTGCCAAGTGTTCAACACTTTTGATCCTGACTATACCTATGATCATTTATTGATGACAGGAATATCATAATTGACCGAAGTTAAAAGCCCTATAACTGGACTCTGGCCTTAACTACTTATAACTTCTCAACCAATCGTTTAATACATCAAATTTATAACACCAGAAATAATTATTGGTCCTGTTTATGCTTGACTTTAATTAATTCAGTAAAGTACTTAAAGTTACCTACAAGATGAGTATGTTTAGTAAATAATAAAGTACTTAGCAACATTCACTTGTAATACTGTACCAGACCTGTGACTGACCCACTCGAGGAATTCATTGACGTAAAGTTAGTGGAAAGTAAAAATATTCATCACAAATCAATAATTTCTGGGTCAAAGTCATTGAGAAAACATTTAAAATATATTAACAAAACTATGAACCAAAGATACAGGAAATATTGTAGTTAAGCATCAATAACTATTATGGTTAAACTAAACTCACTTGTGGGTAAGTTTTGTAATGAAAGGTTTTTGGTTTTTATAGTTTAGTTAATATGAACCATAACTTGTACAGTTAGGTTAAGTTGCTGTACAGTTACTGATAATATTCCCTAGACACTTGTTCTCAAGGTTCATTTGGTGAAAAATTCAAATTAACAAAAATTCTTATTTTTCTATTGAGTTTATAAATTTGGTTCTGTCAAGTGTTAAGGAATTTTGTCTAAAACACTACAGTTCATTTTGTCATTACTATATTTAAAACATTTTTATGGTTAAAAAATTTGAATATTAATTTTACATTTTATTTTGTACAGAAATGTTGTTCTGAACACTGGAGTGCCGTGCTGCCCTAGACTGTGCTTACTGGCTACTGCCTTGGACTTCCCTGTACTTGCTTGCTGGCTGCTGCCCTGGACGGCTCTGCTCTGTGCTTGCTGCCCTGGAGCTGGCTCTGCTCTGTGCTTACTGCCCTGAGCAGCTCTGCTCTGTGGCCATGCTGCTACCTGGACTACTGCTCCCCTGGATGGCTCTGCTCTGTGTGTGCTCCTGGACTACTACAACACCCTGGGCATTCTAGCCATGTGTACTGCCCAGGCCTGCAAATTTATAGAGCCATTAAGTTTCCATTAATAAATGTCTAAATGTCATTATGTATTTATTAACCTTTTCTAGCATTTACAATATTTTCAAATTTTACAGAAAATTGACTAAGTTCAGCTTCAGATTTTGAAGCAAAATAATTTAATAAAATACTTGAAAAAATATCTTAATTCATTATATACAAATATAATATACAAATGAAAAATATATATAAACTTGAAAAATAAATATATATATATACATATAAATAAAAAAAATATAAATAAATATAACAAATAAAATATATATATAAAGTATATATATAAAGTATATATATAAATAAAATAAAAAAAAAATATATATATATATAAAACAAATATAAATAACTAAAATAACCTGAAAAAATAGCTAAAAATACAGAAAAATATGAAAAAATTGGCATTTTTATGAAAAAATGGCTAAAAATTGCCAAATTTGAGCAAAAAATGGCCGAAAAATTGCCCTATTTTTACCCTTAAGTGTTTTTTGAGTTTGCCATTGCCAGGACTAACGTTGAAAAAATTTGGTAAAAGATAATCGGAAGAGTCTCCGGAGGAAGGCCTTCAAATTATCATTCACCAATAATATAAAAAAATACAAGCATAATGGACTACCTGGCCGTGGGAAGAGTAACTCAGTAGGGCCCCAGTGAGTTACTCTCCCCACGTCCAGGTAGTCCGTTATGCCTTATAATACACAGATGCCAAGCTGGAGCTCGTAAGAATGGCACAAATGTTTTACCTCTAAAACCACAAAAATTTATTACTCAAAATATGCCCAGGAATAATTTTGGCCATTTTTGGACTTAGAATATTTTTAAACAATGAATTTTTGGACTTAGAATAAATTTTGGACTTAGAATACTTTAAATGATGAATTTTTGGACTTAGAATATTTTAAACGATGAATTTTAGGACTTAGAATATTTTAACGAATTTTTAGACTTAGAATATTTTAAATGATGAATTTTAGGACTTAGAATATTTTTAAAGATGAATTTTTGGACTTAGAATATTTTAAATGATGAATTTTTGGACTTAGAATACTTTAAACGATGAACTTTTGGACTTAGACTATTTTAAACGATGAATTTTTAGACTTATAATAATTTTTGGACTTAGAATATTTTAAATGATGAATTTTAGGACTTAGAATATTTTTAAAGATAAATTTTTAGACTTAGCATATTTTTAAAGATGAATTTTAGGACTTAGAATATTTTTAAAGATGAATTTTTAGACTTTCATTGAATCGGATCGCTGTAATTCATACTTCGGTTTAATTCGTATGTTTCTCAAAAAATTAATTGAACGATTTGAATTTGGAATGAATATGAAATAACTGAGTGGTTCAAAAAGTTGCCTTGGCTGTCATATACAATATCATATTTATAATTATTGTGCAAATATAAATAGTTATAAAATGTACTTACAATAATAAAGTAAATAATACAGTAATAAATAATGAGAGGTGAGATCGTAGATGATATTCCATAAGTGTAACGGCCACACTGGTAAATGAAGTAAAAACCCTCATTGGAGAAATATAAGATGAAATTTTGGAGCTGATTTGACTATAGTGCATTTTTTATCAGATGAGAAGAGATGCCCCGCCCCCTCCTCAAGAGTTACACCTGATTGGCTGTTGCAAATCTGTCCGATTTCCTCCTGAAGTAATGATGTATTTCTAAATGAGTTTATTCATAATGACCATTTCTGATGAGAAAGACATTTAGCTAAATTATATAAAGATTCATACATTAATTATATCAAACATAAACATGTAGGAAGTTTATCAGAAATATTATACAAGAATTAACTGTTAAACTCTGGTGGCAAATTGACGCTTTCGGAGGACGCATTTAATATATACTTATTTTTACCCACAATAATACACAAATTACGTATCTCTTCTCAGCTGGGATAAAACACACTATAGGTCCCTCTTCTGCCAACTAACACAACAAAACAAGGGAGAAATACATAGAACAAAGGAAAAGTCTCCTGAGTTAGGTAGGTTGGGGATTAATCTTCTTGATGAGAGCAGTGGACCCCAGACCTGATCCTCAATACTATTACACTTTCTGAATATCATCCACATATTATCAGTTCACCTCACAATGTGCAGTAAGTCTTACAGTTATTTATTACTGTATTATTTACTTTATTATTACTGTTTGTGCACTTAAAAAATATTTGTTTGCACAGTAATTATAAATAAGATTATTTTGTGTGGCAGTCAAGGCATGGTAACTGAGTATGTTTGTTGGTTGGAATAATGAGGAACAATCTGAACAGAAAACGAACGAATAATTGAACAAAAAGATTGAGAAAGTGTCGAATAATGTCAAAATATTCGGAACTCGGTTAATTTGTATTTTCATAAATTCGGTGGACCACAAACAGCACTACACCCTCATTGATTTGACAAAAGAGACTCTGCGTCACTCGAATTACTGAAAATACGAATTAACTGAGTTCCGAATATTTTGATATTACTCGACAATTCCTAAATTTTTTGTGTTCAATTACTGTATTCATTTGTTTTCTGTTCAGAGTGTTCCTCATCATTCCAACCAACAAACATACTCAGGTACTATAGTAGCACTAACATTTCTTTACAACCTATCCTCATGTCATTCTTTGCCTACCTCTAACTCCCCTCCCCTCCACATTCATTCGTGTATCTCTTGACCCAGTTAGTTTCCTCCTTTCTCTCCTGAACCATCTCAGTTTAGCCTCCAGGTACTGTACTTCTCTCTGTTGCCAACCATCTTCCACATCTCACACAATCTTCTTTTCTCTTTTTATCTCTCTTTCCACTTCATCATTCCCGCCATCAACCACACTCAACGGAAGATTTTTTATTATGGCCCAGCGTCTTGGTACACTGCCCCTCACTGGCTGCTTCCTAGCCTCTCAACTCACAAGAAAATGCTTCCTTTACATTCAGTTCCTTCACAATTCCCACACTCTCCTTCTTGGAACATCCACCTTCTTCCTCTCCCTCCATCTTTAAGTAACACACACACACACACACAAGCAACCTGTTCTAATTTCCTGACCAAAATGTAGCCAATCTGGGTTTCTGTGCCACCTGCCTTAGGCCTACACGGTCAGCCTACTTGCCCTATTCTTAAACACATGTTACATACCATCCCCAAACTCAAGTGTTCTTTCACCTTCAGTATTCCTTATTCCAAAGCCTTTCCCACCACGCACACCTTCATAACCCAGCGCGACAAATTTGGACAATAAAAATAGTTTGTTTTAACGGAGATCACTACACAATAAATTGTATCTCCTAAAACAACATTAACTGGCATGACTATAACACAATAATTGCCGCTTAAGTCACTCGACAGATTTTACGGCAACATTAAATGACGCCGAACTAATGAGATAGAATTCCTTAACGAACATTAAATTGTATTTATGGTTTAGTTTAACCTAAATGGTAAATATATGTAAAGTACCTGAATGGTTCAACAGTCTCACTAAATCACATTAATTCTAAAGTCCTTAAAAACAATTTTGTTCTTTAATTTCAAATCATATTGTGATGGAATTCCAAGTCCAGGTAAATTTAAAATATAAATTTAGCCAAATTATACCTGGATAAACAGTGAGAAATAAAGGTGTTCTGGTTTATAATTAAAATAAGACAAATTGTCAATCTTCCAGAGCCACAGCTAAACACCTCAGTTTAATATTGACCTCCACCTCACACTGGCTCACACTACAACAGAGTAACACCTGTGATGAAACAACATTATCAGGGAAAAGATCAAAATATTTACATACACTAGACCACTTCAGATAGATAGATGTATATATATTATGTAAACTTATCACATAAGTTTACAATTGGTTCAACCTGCATATAGACAATGTAGGTATACAGTTCAGCATGTATACAGCCAATACAGGTATACAGTTCACCATGTATATAGACAATACTGTATAGGTATACAGTTCAGTATATTGTATTAGCCTCTCACATTAATATTATATAAATATGAGCTAAGGACATATATTCATTATATACATTCTATCACCCAGACTATTGAGCATACAGCTACATAAACATTTGATCTGTCACACCTCCTAGGGTGCACAGCCCATAAACATGTGTTCTGTCACACCTCCTAGGGTGCACAGCCCATAAACATGTGTTCTGTCACACCTCCTAGGGTGCACAGCCCATAAACATGTGTTCTGTCACACCTCCTAGGGTGTACAGCCCATAAACATGTGTTCTGTCACACCTCCTAGGGTGTACAGCCCATAAACATGTGTTCTGTCACACCTCCTAGGGTGTACAGCCCATAAACATGTGTTCTGTCACACCTCTAGGGTGCACAGCCCATAAACATGTGTTCTGTCACACCTCCTAGGGTGCACAGCCCATAAACATGTGTTGTCACACCTCATAGGGTACAGCCCATAAACTACAGACTCAACCCTCAGTGTGTGGTAGGCTGTTTAGTTAATGACCTGTTGAAGTGTGGTTACTGTCCAGTCACCAGACTCAAGAGAGTTCAGCCCAGTTCACAGCCCGACACGATGCCCTAAAGTGAGACCAGCTCTCCGGGCTGTACCTCTCTCTAATTATATCAGCTAATTACAAGCAAATATCTAATGCTCATTAGTCTGTCAATACCAAATAATTGTACAGACATTACTACCCAATATAACTATTAAATCAGCATGTGTGTTTACATTAAACCAAGGAACAACGAGTGAAGAGAACATTACCTGTGTGTCTTGCTTAACTTACAAGCCAAGATAATTACAAGTACAACTCAGGACAGCTGTGACGATTTA